GCCGGGGGCCTGCCCTGCAATGTTTCCAGCCTTGTTCAGTGCTTACTTACGGACCTCTCTGCCCACAGGGCGACCCTCGGTCCGAGTCCCGCCGTGGTGATCCCAAAACCTGCGTGCTCCCACCCTCTGTTAGGCTCGAATGGTTTCGATGGTTTTAAGCGGAGGGCCAGCGCTCTCAAGCTATCGGGCTCGCCGAGCCACGGCCCGACTTTGACCGTCACTTCGTACTCCAAACCTGGACTCGCCTCGAGAGTCGGGCACGCCCAACAGCCCAAGTCGGAGCCCACGTTGGTGTGTTGAATGCCCTTGGAAGGGCTAATTGTGGCTCGGGTTCGCCTCAGTTCGCGCTTCCACTCCCCTTCTTATGCATGCGCAAGCCCTTGTGTAGAACCCAACAGTTCACAAACCAACCTTTTGCTCAAAAAAGAAAGAGGGACGATGAGGGAGCCCTTTGAAGGAGTAGTTCCGTGAATAATGCCAGAGCGCCGAGACGCTTTCAACATCTAGCAACTGCTCTGCGGACGGGAATCATCCGCCCGCCATACTCACGAAAAGAAACACGGCTCCGCCCGGAACCACCTTTGAGGCCCGAAAACAGCCACTGAGTTGCGGCTTGCTCCCCCCCCCTCCTTATCTGGCTTATCTCCCTCCCCCTTTCGTTCCCTCTATCCCTACGAAGGCAGGTATGTCGGGTCAACACCTCCCGCAGGTCTCTCTCTCTCTCTCTCTCTCTCTCTCTCTCTCTCTCTCTCTCTCTCTCTCTCTCTCTCTCTCTCTCTCTCTCTCTCTCTCTCTCTTCCTGCAACAAGAAAGGTGAGCCCTTACAGAAGTGGAAAGCGCACACTGATGTCAAGCAAACTCAACAGCGACATCCCTCTCTCTTTCTTTCCCTCAAAAAAGAGAAAAAAAAAAGAACGCATTACGAGGAACGAAAGCAGCAGACTGACATGAGACGAGCTAACGACGACTTCTCTCCCTTTTTTCCCTTTTTCTGAAATGAGAACCCGTACTCTTTGAGGGAAGAAAACCGCTTACCAACGTAAGGCAATCACATCGGTGTGAGACGGGCTCAACAACCACATCCCTCTCTCTTTTTCTTCCCCCAGGAAAACACACATTACAAGTAACTAAAGCAGCATCCCGTCTTGAGACGAGTTAACGACGACGTCCCTCTTTCTTCTTCGGTGAAACTGGAACATGCCCACTCGGAGGCGCGAGAGCAGCGGGCTGAAGCGACAAAGGTCAACAACGGCGTCTCTCTCTCTCTCTCTCTCTCTCTCTCTCTCTCTCTCTCTCTCTCTCTCTCTCTCTCTCTCTCTCTCTCTCTCTCTCGACTTGTTCAACAACCACGTCCTTCTCTATTTCTTCCCCTCAAGAAAACGTAAATTATGAGTGCCCAAAGCAGCTTCCCGACGTGAGACAACGTGCCCCTTCCTCCTTCAATGAAGCAGGCACAAGCCCGCTCGGAGACCCGAAAGCAGCGTTCTGAAGCGAGACAGGTTACCGAAGGCACCCCTCCCTCTCTCTCTCCCTCTCTCTCTCTCCCTCTCCCTCTCTCTCTCTCGACCGTGGGTGTTTTATCGAGCTCCTTTCTCGATCCTGCGAGTGCGCTGCCCCGCTCCCCTCTTCCACCCTTCTAGTCGAGCCCATATCCCCTCTCGGGGTCGCTTCGCGAGCGCAGGCCCCCGATGGCTGGTCAGCACGCTATTCCCCCTGCTTCCGTCGAACGCTTCGTGATACTCCCAAAGCGCTTCCCCATTCTATCCCTCACTCGACCAACTTCCCCCTCTCCCGTCCTCTCGGGAGCCTGTTCCGTAGCGGGTGCGACCGCGAGCCCCGGATCGATTTCGTGCATCCGAGTGCGCACCCGCAATTTCGTACGCCTGAGTGCACAAGTCGCAACTCCGTTCACCCGAGTGCGCAAATCCGTACGCCTGTGCCCCTCTGTCCTCTTTTCTTCCGTTCGCCTCTGTCTTATATACTCTCCTTTCCTCCTCATTCTTCCTTCGCTTCCTTCCCGCAGGCTCTTCTCTTCACGGATTGCCAAATTTTGAAAAGTCCGACGAAATTTTTAACTTCCCGCTTCTTTTCTACCTTTGTCTCCTTTGTTCCCTTTCCCTCCAGCTGATCCGTCTCAACCTCCCTCTCCCAATGAAATCCTTCCCTTCGTCGCTGCTTCGGATTTTCCAATGTGGTGATCAATCCCTGGTGCGCACTGTTTCTCCATCACCCGCCTTCGATCACCGCATTGATACGGGCGCAAACGGTTACAGCGAGCCAGAGCTAACTTTCTTGGTGACTTTCAACTCCCCGCCTATTCTCTGCCTCCGCCTCCTTTGTTCCCTCTCCCTCCAGCTGATCTGTCTCAAGTTCTCAACCTCCCTCTCCCAATGGAATCCTTCCCTTTGCCGCTGCTTCAGACTTTCCAATGTCACAATGTGGTGATCAATCCCTGGTGCGCACTGTTTCTCCATCACCCCCGCCTTCGATCACCGCATTGATACGGGTGCAAACGGTTACAGTGAGTCGGAGCTAACGTTCTTGGTGACTTTCAACTCCCCGCCTATTCTCTGCCTCCGCCTCCTTTGTCCCCTCTCTCTCTAGCTGATCTGTCTCAACCTCCCTCTCCCAATGGAATCCTTCCCTTCATCGCTGCTTCGGATTAATTCTTCCAATGTGGTGATCAATCCCTGGTGCGCACTGTTTTTCCATCACCCGCCTTCGATTACCGCATTGATACGGGCACAAACGGTTATCGCGAGCCGGAGCTAACTGTCTTGGTGAGCCGACCGTTCAACTCTCTCGTGCTTGCGTTTCTCGTGCGACTGTTTCTTGTGAGCAAGATAATTGGTTCGACTACCAAGGTTTTTCCCAGGGGCGCGCGACTGCTGCCAGCTTGCCCCCAACCCGTTTTGTCTCCTTTCTCCAATTGGCCCCGGCTGCTCGCGTTTTCCAGAACCCACCTCGGTTTTCGCACCGAGCTTCCATAGAACCCCTCCCCCCCAGAGAAGGAGCTCAATTCAAGTGATGAGGTACTCCCTTTTTGGATCCGACTTCCGGCCATTGTCTCACCGGGAGGTCGTTCGCCTTCACCATCTTGCGGCCTACTTGCTCAAGACCTTACACGGTGAGTATACTGACTAAAGTTGATCCAATGAAAAACCCAACCGACCGAAAACAGTTGTCCCCCGCACCGCCCTTGATCTTTTTCCTTGTCAGAAGCCATTCCTCGAACGGGTGCGGTTGCACGGGTCCCACTTCTCCGACGACAAATCCGACCAGTACCCAGTAGGCCGCGAAGAATTGGTAGCGCAATCAAAATTGGACGGTTGCGGCCTACCAGTAGGCGGAGGTTTTTTGCGTCGGGGGGAGTGGCAGTTTAAAAGTGGATGTCGCACAAAATATACAAGTTTGCACAGCTACATATGTGATGCGGAGGGGGTTCCAAAATTGTGCAACATCCAAGGCGTACGCAAAAGAGAGGAGCAAGGAATCTGAAACGTAACTAATTACCAACACGAAGAGTAATTATATCAACCGATTAGTCCGTCAAAATCATGGTCTCTGGTTCAAAGAAATATCTTCAGGGTGCATGTCTTCATCGGCTCAATTTGTCAAGGATCATACCACTGTTAGCCGACTAGTCAATCCATGTAGCTAGTAGCTACAATAGCTAGTAGCTACATGACTGTTAGCTACATGGATGACTAATCCAAACCTTCGTCGGCTCAATTTGTCAAGGATCATCCCACCATCTTCCCCAAAGGCTAACATTCACGCTTCACTCTCAGGATAGACGTCATGATAATCACGAGGATAAGGAAAAGAAAAAAAACAAGGATGATTAGGATGTTCAGGAAGTGGAGGAAGATAGGGATCAAGTTCAGGGCCATTGTCTGGAACAACAAGATAACGAGGTTTGCGATGATATTGACGCAATCAATGTGCACGCACAAAGTGACAAACTGTTACTCAAAAAAATGATAAAAATTTCAAATAAAGAGAGGGGAACATATTCAAGATATCATCTCCTAGTGTCGGTTCGCTGGCAACGACGGGAACTGTGTCGTCGCTAGTATGCAGTAAACTCTTGGTAGTTGAGCTATCTCCATGCTACCCGGGCCGTGATCACAAAATATGCATGGTCATTTTGTCCTTCCTCAAGAAACCCGATCACAGACCTGACTTTTATAAACTCAATGCCTTCGTCTTGCAAGAGCAAACCATTCATAGTTATATTGCGTACTGCAACAAGAAATAGACTAGTTTAATGACGGTTTGTTCTATCAGGGTAGAAAATCCCAAAAATATTTCAAACTTTTAGCAGGCTGAGCCAGAAAGCATCAGCACGAGATGGAAATTCACCAAAAACTGCAGCAACTTGAGCACCAGGATCAATCGAATAACTCACACAGTGTCTAGCACACAGAGTCGGGAGAGTATTCAGATATACAGATGTTGCAACAACGACTCCATACCTTTGCCACACAACGTTGGGAGGGCACACGTATAAGAGGACCACTGTCATGGAACAGCGATTTCGTCAAAACGGACATCTCTTTTTTTTTTTTTTGAAATTGAAAATCCAAACTGCAGCCAAAATTTGATGAAATTTTGGGTAGGGCATTCTGAAAAGCCCTACCCCCTCGATGTTTCTGGACTCAGCCAGAGTCCACATACATCCAGGGGGTATGGCGTTCTGAAAACGCCGTACCCCCCTGGATGTCTCTGGACTTCGGCTGAATCCAGATACATCAAGGGGCAACCCAAAAATTCATCAATTTTTGCCCGCAGTTTGGACTTTCAATTTTGGCGAAAATGGACCAGGACATTATTTTCATGTTTCACCTATCCTTGAATCACCTACACTAAAAGGGCTCAAAACTCGTATTTTCCAAAATTTTCAAACGTTTCGTTCAAACCCAACATTTCCTTTTATTGAGTTTTCACGAATTTTATATTTTTCGTACAAAAAATAAAAAATGTTCGTTTTGATGAAATCGTTGTTATGGCATCAAACGGAAGGAACAATGGATCAAACACTCTTTAGCATGGCCCGTGCACTCTCGCGCAGAACAACAATAGAAGTGCTATATGATCTGCATACTGGAAATCAGAATATTGTCATCGCCTCCCCTCATTACACGCAGATAGCAAGGTCCTTCTCTAAGGACCTGTTTACTTCAGGGTGCGTCCGACAGGAGAGGGAGTTTGGGAGAAAGAAATTGAAACAGGGGATTCGTGAAAACCTCACAATCGGAGAAAACCTAACATTTCTTATAGAATGAAAAAGTAAAAGTCAAACTGTTATTTTTTACACAAAAAGATAGCGTTTTTAATCGTTTTGCGATAAAGGAGGCAAAAAATCAGGTGAAAAGTCTAGCGTTCCTCAAAATGTGCAAGAAAACCCTTCCTTGCAAAATGTTTTTATATGACTATAAGTCATTCTCAATAGATTGGCAAAAAAACAGAGTTCAAACAAGGTAATTGTTAAGGATGACAAGACAAACTTGAAAGATGTAAAAAAAACGTGTTTTGGTGAATACTCATTTATAGGACTATAAGTCAGTTTCCGCAGTTAGGTAAAAACCAAGCTCTCCATAAAATAATTTATAGGACTATAAATCACTTTTGAACTTAACAATAAATTTGAATAAAACCTTTATCAAAAAATATATGTCATTTAAAATAAGAATACAAACAACTTTTGCCTCGGAGACACCTTGAAATTCTTAGCCAAACACGAGTTTAAAATAAAAATATAGGGGAAAAAAATTAAAACAAACAATAAAAAATAATATATTCGCCCATGTATGGGAAACCATGTTCAAGCGAATGTATTCACGAACAGGAGAACATGTTTGCGCGTTCGGAAAACCCCCGAGGCCCTGTCGAATCATCCAATTTTGTTTTGTTCAGTAGCGCTAGCTTAATTCAAATTTCGTCACTTTCTAGTACCCATCGGCGCCGCCTTTCGGGGTTTCCTTAGGGACCGATTCACTCTGCGTAGATTGACTGAACGCAGAAACCCTTGAACTTTCGGCGATCATGTTTTTCGCTTGATTTTTTGTTACTCATGTCAGCATTCTCACTTCTGATATCTCCAACTGTTTTCACAAACAGCCTTCTTCAACTTTCATCGTGCTACACATTTTATAGGACTATAAAAACATTTTGTTTTTATAACAAAAAATCAGGATATTTCAGTTCTTGAACCTACGGTGCTTCACCAGGTCATGATTTTCTATGAAAAAAACCGTTTTTTTCCTCGCCCCCTCCAGTGGTTCTGAAAAATAAATTTTCTGTTCTTTTTTTTGCGGATGTTTCACTTCGTGTAGAATTTTGTTCCTTGAGGGGACCTGAAAAACGTACTATCATAATCTTGAATAGATTTCGTACAAACCTAACAATTTGCTTTGTTAGGTTTTCACGAATGAGGACTTCTTGAAGGTTGAAACCATTGAAGAAGGCCCTGACAGACCAGCAGAAAATAACTTTGGATTGTCCTCTATCCAAGGAGGAAATCTGAACGGCGATGATGCAGATGGATGAAGAGAAGATGGGTTCCCTAAGGAGTTAAGGGAGACCAAGATGGTCCCGACCTCATGGAGTTTTATCGTCATGTGTGGGAAACGGGGCAGATGGGGGAATTGGTGGAGCAGGACATTCTCACCTTGTTGCACAAAAAAAGGGACACGATGGATATCAAGAACTACCGACCGATAACTTTGCTTACAACTGTTTATAAAATACTAGTGAAAGTTTTGGCAAACCGTCTTATCCCAGTCTTGGACGATGTTATCCACGTGACACAGACCAGGTTTGTCAAAGGGCGCAGGATCGAGGACAACATCCTACTAGTTAACGAACTTATCAAACTAACAAGGCAAGGCAAACAGAATGTGATTGTGGTCTTCGCTGACTTCCAAAAAACTTACGACTACGTGGACTGGCTATTTATGGACAGATGTATGGAAAAAATGAAGATTAGGTTTGTTTTCCGACGCTGAATCGAAATACTGCATCATAATGTCACCACAAGTGTTCGAGTTAACAGAAGGATAGTGTCAACCTTCCTGCTGCAACTGTCTGTCCGCCAAGGGAACCCTCTGGCACCCTTTCTGTTTATAACTTTGACGGAGGCGTTGGCTGCAAACCTCTGCGCGAACAAGGACCTGAGGAATTTGCAGATCTTGGTCATCCCTGAAGATGTGATTCTCATTTGTCCGATATTCGCAGACGACCTGACACTCTTGGTGGATGCCACCGCAGCAAACATCGTGGAAGAGATCAGGAGACTATTCGACCGGTTCACAGTGGTCTCAGACTTAAACAAAACCTTGGGGCGGTGGATCCACCATCAAGGGGTGCGCCCCTCGGAGTTGCCACGGGTCAAGTGGCTCCCGGAAGCATCTCTGGTCAGGGTATTGCGAATTATGTTGATGGCATTAGGTAAGCCTGCATCGAATGATGAGTGGAACCTTAAGCCCGCTTTAGAAAAATTAGCTCACTGGAAAGATCAAACCACCTCCTTAATTGTTAAGGCGTTAACAATCAACAGCGCAGTGTTGGTGAGCCTTTGGTACAAATCTGCGATTTGGACCCTCAGTAAGGAGGTCGTCCGATCGCTAAAGCGGCAGTCAACGGCCCTGCTGTAGAGAAGCAATGGTGAGCTCCCGAACATTATTAGCAGATTGGCCTGGTCATTTGTGATCCAAC